TCGCGTTTAGACTATTTGGCTGCTACAAATGTCCACGCGATAGGCCACTTCGTTCAGCGATCATCTGCGGCCAGGTCGCTTCTGAAAAAGAGCCGTGTAGTTCAGCGGGGCCTTAGCTGGTATAATAATAAAATATATAGTTTAACTCGTCCAGACGGGGTCATCCTCAAAGCCCTCACTGCTCGAAATTTAAAGGAAACATTGACTAATACCGAACAGTATACGATGCTGCATCACGAGACCTCCTTTGCCAGTATTACATTATGGTAATAGGGTGTTCCCCTTTCTGGCAATAAAACAGGTGCGAAGATGTTAAAACACCAAACTGAAACCTTTTACAAGGAATCACGTCTGCATTAACCACAATGCTTGTGTCCACTCAGCTCTACATCCTTCTGTACCATTTCTTCTCGAGCCCGTGCCGCGCACATTTAGCCCCCCCCCACCCCCCTCTATCCGGCCAATCCAGGTAACGGTAGCATGGGTAATGTATTGCAATGTCTTGCCCATGCCACTGTTGACAGAAGGGCCTCCAAGACACGAGTGCGAGTGCGAGAGAGGCTCTCTCGAGGCAAGGGGTCAGCATCCTGCTGCTTCTGAGTCGCGGCCTTCGTGACGTTATTCACAGCGCGTTGCCCCTCTTGTTGAAATATTGAGTGGAGTTTATTTTATTGTATTTTTTTAAACCGAAAATTGTTTAGCTTCGTGTTCATAATCAACGTTTTTGGGTTTAGATCGCGTTATTTATAAATGTGTCGTAACCTTCCACCACCCGACACGGCCAATCAGTAAAAAAGTGTCACGTTGACAAAAGACAAATAGTTCACTGCTTTAGCCCACCGGCGTGTTGAAGCGTGAAACCACAACATTTACAATTTTAGTACGACGTTTCGCTGGTAATTGCATCCAGCATAATCGGGCAAAATCAGTGAACTATTTATCTTTTGTCAACGTGACACTTTTATACTGATTGGCCGTGTCGGGTGGTGAAGGGTTACGACACATTTATAAATAACGCGATCTAAACCCAAAAACGTTGATTATGAATAATATTGGTCGCGAAACGTGTTAAACTATCTTCGTTTTGTTTACGTTTCTCAGCTCCTGGGTCAAACAGAAGCTGCTTCGTCGCCGGGCAGACGCCCTTTGTGACCCAGCAAACTCAGCCCCGTTTTAATGAAGACACAAACATTGTTTCGCCATTCAATTGCGCCTGCAAATTGTTGAAACTAGGCATTCTACCGTTGTTTGGCTAATGCGACACCGCTTCCAGATCGGCTGCTGCTGAAACATTAAGTGGACTAAAACCGCTTTGCCATTTTCCTCTTCGATTTGCACTGGGTGTGCCATACAGGACCCATCATTGTGACCTCTGCTTAAAATCTACAATTGGGCCCTGCTAATCCATAACACTCGTATTGGCAACTCCGCACTATACTTAGCTAATTCATTAACCCCATTGTCAAACCCAAGCAACCTAAGACGTCAATCTAATTGCCTTTTAACTATCCCAACAACAAGAATTGGAATGGGTGACGATGGCTTTGCCGATGCAGACACCAAACGTTTTGGAACAACCTCGTTACCTCCCTGAACGACCTGAATCGTCACTCAAAAGAATATCCCGAAGCAGAAGATGTTAGTGGTGGATGCAACCACAGTTGCAAATGTGATTTGTGACTGTGTTCCTTACCCGTGTATCGATAGTTCGATTTTAATTTGCAATTGTATCGATGGATTACTGCTTGTTGTCTTGGTGTGGTCAGGGACTGTTTTTTTTTTGCTGTGGCTTTGCCGAAACTTTAGCATTGATGTACATTTGCAATTTGAACTGAGATACTTATTTTCATTTACGTTCAGATATATTCTTACCTTTCCTATACTTTACACTCCTATCGGTTGCTTTTGTGTTTTGTTTATTGTTGTAACTTTCTGACCCACCCTTGACTGCACACCTGTGGAGAAAGTGCTTCATAGCCCTTCAGATTTCTCCAGAATCAATAAAGATCCGATTCTGAATTCTTGCCAAGCTACAATATTGGTTCAATCCTTGGCCGTCTTGTCCTGTCAAGTGGAATGTGCTATCTGTGTGATCTAAACACGTTCCCGAGGCACTCCCAGGTTAACTCAACCTAAAACGAATACCTGATGCATGCTTTAAACATCAGCACGAGTAAGAGAAAGTTGGATGGGCTCAGTGCTGGGCCCAACACCTCAATTACTGCGCCGGACTTCAAAGATGCTTGGACATCTGTGTCAAAAAAATAAAAGCTTCATAGCTCATCGGATTTCTCCAGGATGAAATAAAGACTCCGATTCTGTCTGCGAGAGGAGCTCACCGATGGGGCGGGCGGTGATGGAGGCCAGGCATCCGTGGTCCTTCACGTGCGCATCGTCCGAACATTCGACCAGTGGGAACCTTTTTCCGGGAGCTCAGAAACGCAACTCGGCTTCGAACGCGAGAGTCGATGGGAAAACGATCGTCATTTAGCGAACGATTTTTGCTCGACGAGACATTTTCGCGGAACCTATCTGCCTCGTTAAGCGGGGCACGCCGGCGTTTTCTGAGTGGTCTTTTTTTAATGGTCGATTCAATGGGTAAGATGTATGTGTAACGTTGAACTTTTTTCGCACCGTACGTAGCCAATCGTGCTAATTAAAGGACGAAGAAACTTAACTCAAAAAGCAGTTATGTTTGTTCTCTGGACACCAGCTCCTTCACACACATACACTCCATCACACAAAGCCAAAGCTGCCCCCTGTAGCCTTAACCGACTGTAGGAGCAAGTGCTGTTAGCGAGCACCTATAAAGACCGGCACGGCACACGAGGGGGTGGGTGGCCAACACCACGCCCGGCCGCCTTTGTCTCCCCAGTGGCGATGTTTACACATCGCACCGGGTACTCGTTTGAGGACCGGTTAAGATAATCGTCACCGGTGTTGGCCGTGAGCGGAAATCGAACCCGGATCTCCGGGTTCGTAGCGCAGCGCGCTAACCGCTACACTATCGCTCCCCACACGCACACACCATCACACAAAAACAAAGATCACACACACACACACCATCACACAAAGATCACACACACACACACCATCACACAAAGATCACGCACACACAAACTATCACACAAAGACAAAGATCACACACACACCATCACACAAAGATCACACAAACAAACCATCACACAAAGACAAAGATCACACACACACCATCACACAAAGATCACACACACACCATCACACAAAGATAAAGATCACACACACACCATCACACAAAGATCACACAGAGAGAGAGAAACACGCGTTAGAGAGACACGTGTTAGAGAGAGAGCGAGAGTAACGGGCTAGAGAGAGACACGTGTTAGAGAGAGAGAGAGCGAGAGACACGTGTTAGAGAGAGAGACACGCACGCAAACTGAAAGGCGCCTGCACCGTCCAAGGCATCGTCTGAGCCGTCCGCTCTGCAGCAGCTCCCTGCTGCTGCTCTACTGTGTAGCTGTGGAGGGGTGCCGATGAAAGGGAGACGCATCGAGGGGTGGCGGCGAAGGGGAGGTGGTGAGGGGGGGGGGGCTTTGACTCGGTGGGGAACTTCCCCCAAGTGAGCGGCGCGTCTCTTAAAAGCGACGGCGGCGGCCGCGACTCGGTGAGTCTCTCTGGGTGGGGGACGCGGAGCGACACGCGCGGGATCTCGGCACCGCCACCACCGCCGCCACCACCGCCACCAGCGCCACCACCGCTACCGCCACCACCGCCACCACCACCGCCACTACCGTCATAGGTCACCGCGCTCATCTGCCACGGCGTGTGGCGCGCAAGCGCCTCTGCACACACACACACCTGTACACACACACCTATACACACACACACACACCTATACACACACACACCTGTACACACACACCTGTACACACACATTACACAAACACACCTGTACACACACACACCTGTACACACACATACCTGTACACACACACACACCTGTACACACACACCTGTACACACACACCTGTACACACACACACCTGTACACACACACACCTGTACACACACACCTGTACACACACACCTGTACACACACACATCTGTACACACACACACACACCTGTACACACACACCTGTACACGCACACACACACACACCTGTACACACACACACCTGTACACGCACATCTATATATACACACACACACCTGTACACACACACACCTGTACACACACACACCTGCACACACACACACACACCTGTACACACACACACCTGTACACGCACACCTATATATACACACACACCTGTACACACACACCTGTACACACACACACCTAGCCGTGTAACCACGCACGTGTGCATACACAGTCATGTACGTAGTCATACATGTCTATAGAGAGTCGTACGTGCAGTGCACGGTCATGCGGACACCGCGCATGTAGTCACGCTCACAGGTGCGTACACACCTGCACATTCACACACTCGTCGGTGAATGAATGATCGTACAAATACTAACACAGCACACACACACACAGATATAAATCTATGTAAGCGCACAGATATATATGGCGCGCGACACAGCTGTGTAGTCGTGAACACGTGCGGGTGTGCCAGGGCCATCCCTCCATCCCCCTCGTGCGAGTGGCACACACACGGAGACAGACAGCACACACACAGCACACAGTGGACAGGTAACATACAGACAGCATACACACAGCACACAGACAGCACGCAGTGGACAGACAGCACAAAGTGGACAGACAGCACACAGACAGCACACAAACAGCACACAGTGGACAGGTAACAACACAGACAGCACATAGACAGCACACAGTGGACAGGTAACACACAGACAGCACACAGCACACACACAGCACACACACAGCATACACACAGCACACAGACAGCACACACACAGCACACACACACAGCACACAGTGGGCACGAGGCGGTGCTCGCGTTGACGAGGACGGGCACAGCGCCTCGTGTGATCTCCCTGCCGAGCGCCGCCAATCGGAGTCCCAGGTAAAGACGGCGACCCACCCCCACCCCCCACGCAGAATTCAATCGACGCGTTTCGCCGTTTCCCGTGATGTGCGCGTGACGACTCACGACGAGTCGTGAACGATGAGCGACTTTTGAGGAGGGGAGCCGCAGCGCGCAGTGCAGGCGCGCGCCGCACGCGCACGTGCTGAGAGCCCGTGGCCTCGTGACGACAACAACAACAACAACAACATCATCAACAACAACATCAACAACTTCGATTTAAAGCTTTCGTGACTGCAGGGATTCATCTTCTTGGTTCTTTCGGTAAAGTCACGTAGAAGGGAAGTAATACAATAATGAAAAATAAAACATAATAAAATAATTCTCACGACGTTTCGGCCACAACGCAAGCAGCCGTCCTCAAGTGAAGACCAGGTCTGTCGAGGAGACAGCGTCTGACGACCTGGTCTTCACCTGAGGACGGCAGATTGCGTTGTGGCCGAAACGTCGTGATAATTATTTTATTATGTTTTATTTTTATTATTTTATTACTTCCCTTCTACGTGACTTTACCGAAAGAACCAAGAAGAAGAAACGTTCGTTTTCAATTTGAGATTCTCCCTCGTGATGGCAACAGCAGCAGCGGCAGCGGTGTGGTTCGGGAGCTAAAGGCAACTGTCGTGATCTCATCGCGGCGACGAGAGGGCCTCGTGTCCATGTACTGCTGCTGCTGCTGCTCCTGCTGCTACTCCTGCTGCTACTACTGCTGCTGCTACTGCTGCTACTGCTGCTGCTACTACTGCTGCTGCTACTGCTGCTGCTACTACTGCTGCTGCTACTGCTGCTGCTGCTACTACTGCTGCTGCTACTGCTGCTGCTACTGCTGCTGCTGCTTCGTCGAAGACGATGTGGGTCTCTGTGGGTCTCGATGTGGGTCTCGATGTGGGTCTCTGTGGGTCTCTGTGGGTCTCGATGTGGCTCTCTGTGGGTCTCTGTGGGTCTCGATGTGGGTCTCTGTGGGTCTCGATGTGGCTCTCTGTGGGTCTCGATGTGGCTCTCTGTGGGTCTCGATGTGGGTCTCTGTGGGTCTCGATGTGGGTCTCTGTGGGTCTCGATGTGGGTCTCTGTGGGTCTCGATGTGGGTCTCTGTGGGTCTCGATGTGGGTCTCTGTGGGTCTCGATGTGGCTCTCTGTGGGTCTCGATGTGGGTCTCTGTGGGTCTCGATGTGGCTCTCTGTGGGTCTCGATGTGGCTCTCTGTGGGTCTCGATGCATCTCCGTACCTCTGCGCGTGTCTGCGTGGGCCATGGGTTTGGGGTGCACTGGGCCTCGACTCGTGGCCGTTCAATGTTCCAAGACGTGGGGCGTTCCGACCCGTTCATGTTCCGAAGCGGCTGATGGCTTGAAGTGGAGGAGGATAAGGAATGTTAAAGGCAGGAGGTTAAGATATTTGGGTCTTGAATTAGGAGTTTATTCTGGAAGTCGGCGTTGTATCACACTCTGTCTGCCAGCCTTTGCCCGAATCTGCGTGGTATTTCAAGGACGGTGACATTTACATCTATATGTTTTAGACACTATGTATATAAGTAGTTTGTAAGGTGACATGAACACGCGTTACACTTCAGGGTGACAGTCGGCGTTCTCAGTGCAGCCCCTTACAAAGTTGGCAGACGATCCCGTGTCATTTGGCTTCTAACTAAACGTTTACAACCAATTAACAGCTGCAATGTCTCGATTTAAAGCTTTCGTGACTGCAGGGATTCATCTTATTGGTTCTTTCATTCAGACGCTGTCTTTCCGACAGACCTGTTCTTCACCTGAGGACGGCTGCTTGCGTTGTGGCCGAAACGTCGTGAGAATTATTTCATTATGTTTTATTATTATTATTTTATTATTTCCCTTCTACGTGATGACTTTACCGAAAGAACCAAGAAAAAGCTGCAATGTCATCAAATACGCCCGTGTTTTTAAGTGAAACAACTGCCAATTATGAGTTTGTACAAAATGAACGTGTACACTTTTCGCGTACAGCGGCACCGCCTAATAATAATAATGGTCTTGCGGTTAATAATAATAATACCAACGGTCTATTGTTTAGTACGCTCACGTTGTTGATTTAACAAAAAAACACTCTTCGGTCCCCGTAGCACACAGGACGTAGCCCAGAACACTGCGCTGATAATCTCAATCTATCGGACACACGATCAGCACCAGCGTGATATATTGACAGCGTTAAATGCGTGTGTATGTACGTTGGAGTTCTTTCGCACCGTACGTAGCCAACCGTGCGAATGGAAGGAGAACAAAGGCGACAACACGACACACGCGACACGGAGACGGCGTCGATTGCAATGAGCGGGGTGCGTGTGGTCATCGACGCTTTGAAAGTTTTACATTGCGACAATTTCACGAGTTGTTGTTGTTGTTGCTGACGTCCGCGTGTTCAATTTCCTGAACCGTTTCACTCCGTTAAAAGAAGCGTGCGGAAAACGATGTGAACGATGTGAACTCATCTCGACAACAGACGATCGATTCATACCGTAGATTTGTTTCGAAACAAATAGCAACACGGATTATTTTTTTACTCCGCTCTGAGTTTTTTTTTTGTGGAACTTGCCACTATCGGCAATGACGAATGCGCTATTTGCAAAACCTGTCTCTGTAAAGTTTGCTCGTTATTCAATATTACAATTAAACGCAGCACTCGCTTCCAGTGCATTCTTTGTGTAGTTATTATTATTATTTTAAATGCACCGTTAACATCACGAGCCGTGGTCTATCCACTGCTGGGCGAAGGCATCCTGCGTAGCCCCCCTCGCTGTCACGATGCGGAGCGGTTACTACCCCTCGCAAGTTCTCTCTCTCTGTCCTACTCTCTTATCTCTCTTTTTTAAAATAATTTTATTCAGTTATGACAGTACTTACAGTTTGAAGCAAAAGCAGGTAAATACAATATATATGCTCATAATCAACGTTTTTGGGTGAGATCGCGTTATTTATAAATGTGTCGTAACCCTCCACCATCCGACACGGCCAATCAGCAAAAAAGTGTCACGTTGACAAAAGACAAATAGTTCACTGCTTTAGCCCACCGGTGTGTTGAAGCGTGAAACCACAACATTTACACATTTTTTTGAGGTTTCACGCTTCAACACACCGGTGGGCTAAAGCAGTGAACTATTTGTCTTTTGTCAACGTGACACTTTTTTACTGATTGGCCGTGTCGGGTGGTGGAGGGTTACGACACATTTATAAATAACGCGATCTAAACCCAAAAACGTTGATTATGAATAATATTGGTCGCGAAAGCCTACGTGCTAAACAATATATGGCATATCACAACACTACAACATTTACCAAACCCATTGGAAAAAAGAAAGCATCATCGAGAATTCACAGATGCCAATGTCATTTATTGGCACAAAATAACACCGTGGTTAGAAACAGGTTTGGTCACTTCTTCTGTAATGCCCGCTTTGCTTCTACCTTCTTTGGCTTCCCTTTCCCCCGAAGTTTCTTGAGTCTCTTCTTCATCTCTTCCTCGAAATCATCGTGTTCATCTCTGTAGAGGGCATGGAAGCGCAGGGTACGCATGATCTGCGAGTACTCCTGGTGCGCTAGATAGTAGTTTTCTCTCTCTTCTCTCTTTTTATTTTACGATCAGAGGAAACAAGAAGATGCTCGGTGTAGTCGGCACTTTGCTTCGTTCATCATTTCGTTTTTTTGTTTTTTCTTCAATGCTTTGCTTTATGTGCCGCCCCCCCCTCTCACGTTTTAAATGTTGTGGGTTTACAATCGTAAAAGTTATGGGTTTATAATTGTAAATGTTGTGGGTTTTTAATTGTAAATGTCGTGGATTTACAACTGTAAATGTTGTGGGTTGTTGTGGGTTTACAATTGTAAATGTTGTGGAGAGTACACCCACAACATGTACAACACACCCGTGTGCTGAACTAGTCACGAATTGGCACGAAAACGTTGATTATGAATGAAAGATTTATCTTCTATCTCTCATCTCTCTCTCTGCTCCCCACGGCGCCTCCTGCCCCGTCCACTCTTCCGAGCAGCCGATGGCTCGAGCGAGATGCCCTCTCCCATCCGCGTGCTGCCCGTCTCATGCCTTCCGCACACTCCTGACTGAGCACGCATCTCCTCCGGGCTGCTTTGCACACAGATCAACTTCTGTTGATGAGTCCGATGAACATGTAAAAGCAGTTCACGTACCCTTCGATTTAAAACTTTACCCATTCGCCCCATTGCCGCCTTGCTTCACGTGATCAAGTTGAACTTCGTGGTCGCGTTTGAACACAGAGTAGCAGCAGGCCGTCGCGATTAATATGATCCACAATCGAGGTTCTTTTGGGGTTACATCGCGTAAATATAAATGTGTCGTTAAACCCTCCACCACCCGACACAGCCAATTAGTAAAGTTTGTCACGTAAACAGAACGTGGCCAATTCGTTACGAGTTTAGCACGCCGGTGTGTTGGAAAGTAAACCCACAACATTTACAACATTTACAATTGTAACTCGTAACAAATTGGCCTGTTTTGTTTACGTGAGAAGCTTTACTAATTGGCTGTGTCGGGTGGTGGAGGGTTTAACGACGCATTTATATTTACGCGATGTTACAATTGTAAAAGTTGTGGGTTTGCAATTGTTAATGTTGTGGATTTACAATTGTAAATGTCGTGGGTTTACAACTGTAAATGTTGTGGGTTGTTGTGGGTTTACAATTGTAAATGTTGTGGGTTTACAATTGTAAAGGTTGTGGGTTTTTGTGGGTTTACAATTGTAAATGTTGTGGGTTTACAACTGTAAATGTTGTGGGTTGTTGTGGGTTTACAAATGTAAATGTTGTGGGTTTACAATTGTAAATGTTGTGGGTTGTTGTGGGTTTACAATTGTAAATGTTGTGGGTTTACAACTGTAAATGTTGTGGGTTGTTGTGGGTTTACAATTGTAAATGTTGTGGAGAGTAGACCCACAACATTTACAGCACACCCGTGTGCTGAACTAGTCACGAATTGGCACGGTTTGTTTCGGTGGCAAACCTCACTAATTGGCTGTGTCGTGTGGTGACGGGTTTAACGACACATTCATATTGACGCGATCTAACCCAACACAAAATAACACCGTGGTTAGAAACACGTTTGGTCACTTCTTCTGTAATGCCCGCTTTCCTTTTCCCTTCTTTGGCTTCCCTTTCCCCCGAAGTTTCTTGAGTCTCTTCTTCATCTCTTCCCCGAAATCATCGTGTTCATCTCTGTAGAGGGCATGGAAGCGCAGGGTACGCATGAGCTGCGAGTACTCCTGGTGCGCTAGACTCTCTCTTCTCTTTCTCTCCTCTCTTTTTCTTTTAGTCGCGCTCCGTTCAGCCTTCGGCCGATTCTTTATTGCACCATTTCTATCCCGGTCCGCCTTCAATATATGCCCGCTAAAAGTACATGTCGTGAGATGCATCGTTTCAATTCATTGGTTCAATAAGATTTTAATAATGCGTGTAAGTTTGTTTTAAATTTCGATGTAAAGCTTTCGTGACTGCAGGGATTCATCTTCTTGGTTCTTTCGGTAACGTCACGTAGAAGGGAAATAATAAAATGATAAAAGTAAAACATAATAAAATAAAAATTCTCACGACGTTTCGGCCACAACGCAAGCAGCCGTCCTCAGGTGAAGATACAGAGCTGGTACAGGCTGGTGGGTCTGTTATTAATGCAACCGGGTTCTCCAACCACGTGTGTGTTGATGCATAAACATCTAATACACACGTGTGTCGTATCGGTTACTGCATAAGACACGTGTGTGTGTAAATACATACACGTGTATAGATACACACACGTGTATGTAGATACACACGCACACACACGTGTGTAGAGATATATGTGTGTGTGTTAAGATACGAAAATTCAAACAACTGATCTTCACTGAAAGCAAATACAATCTTCTTGGTTCTTTCGGTAAAGTCACGTAGAAGGGAAGTAATACAATAATACAAATATTTTATTTTTATTATTATGAAATTTGGAACGAGAAAATTATTTGTGTGAACGCCGGCCAGATTCAGAAACACCTCCCACGCCCTCAACTCCTAGCGAAGTCGTCCTGCTTAATTATAACTGCATGGTTGAAATGTCGAGGATTGATGCCCTGCAATTAGTCAACGGAAACATGTAAGCACACAACTTTTTTTTCGTAAAAGTAAAACATGCGACATCAACGATGCAACTCGTTGGGTGCCGAATGAGTGAACGTGACGAGCGGTGAACGTGACAAGCGGTGCTCGCGAGCGCGTGGCGGGTTCAAGTTTCGCGGGCGGTGACAGCGACAAAGTTTTGTTTGTAGGGCATCATCATCACCAGCAGCAGCAGTGGCATTATCACCAGTGGCATCATCACCATCATCATCACCATCATCACCAGCAGCAACAGCAGCAACAGCGGCATCATCACCACCATCATCATCATCACCACCACCTTCATCACCATCATCACCAGCAGCAACAGCGGCACCATCACCACCATCATCACCAGCAGCAGCAACATTCATCGCCATACAATCATCATCATCATAAAAATTTGTATCGTAAAATGATAGTGGTTTGGGTAAAGAGTGGCGTTATTAAAAGTGGCCGTGTAGTTAACGTGACGGTATAATCATCATCATCAGCATCTTCACTATTCGCTCAATGCAATTCAAGGGTGGCCTCATCGAAATCACGAGCACGACGCGTGGCTGTCACTGTGATCACCGTGTGGTCATCGTTGGCAACTCGGTTCGTCTTTAACGCCCTTGGTGGCGGCGACATTGCCCAGCGGTGGCGCGTTCGCGGTTCATTCCGACAGGCCGCCCTGGCAATTACTGCGGGTGTACGAACCGTAAAATACGCCGCAGTCCGCGTCGGCAGTGGACGTTCAATATCCCCTGGTGCCATTCGAAGCGAGAGTCGGCAAGGCCATCGTGCCCTGGCATCACGGTCCACATTTGAACAAAAATGTACCTCTAAAGTGGCTCAATCGGGGAATCGCACACAGCGGGAATATCTCGTATCCCCCCTCCCCCCCGCATGTGAAGCCACTGCAGCCCTCGGCTCTGTGAGACGCAGCGGCAGCGCCTTTGCTTCCACGTGACAAGCAACAGCGCGCACACCCAGACGGCACTCAACTTTGCCGTCAACGCGGCAACTTTGATAATGTCGTCTACGCGTTGCAGCGGGCGACGCAGCAACGAGCGGTAACGCGGTCACGTGGTCACGCTGTGTCAAGCTGGGAACCTCTAGGTCACGTGGTCACGCTGTGTCGAGCTGGGGACCTGTGGGTCACGTGGTCACGCTGTGTCAAGCTGGCAACCTGTGGGTCACGTGGTCACGCTGTGTCGAGCTGGCGACCTGTGGGTCACGCTGTGTCAAGCTGGGAACCTGTGGGTCACGTGGTCACGCTGTGTCAAGCTGGCGACCTGTGGGTCACGTGGTCACGCTGTGTCAAGCTGGCCACCTGTGGGTCACGTGGTCACGCTGTGTCGAGCTGGCGACCTGTGGGTCACGTGGTCACGCTGTGTCAAGCTGGTCACCTGTGGGTCACGTGGTCACGCTGTATCAAGCTGGCAACCCGTGGGTCACGTGGTCACGCTGTGTCAAGCTGGCAACCCGTGGGTCACGTGGTCACGCTGTGTCAAGCTGGCAACCTGTGGGTCACGTGATCACGCTGTGTCAAGCTGGCGACCTGTGGGTCACGTGGGTCACGTGGTCACGCTGGCAACCTGTGGGTCACGTGGGTCACGTGGTCAGGCTGTGTCAAGCTGACAACCTGTGGGTCACGTGGTCACGCTGTGTCAACCTGTGGGTCACGTGGTCACGTGTCGTGTGTTGCAGCGACTCGCAAGGGACCCCCCCCCCTCCATGGACTATCGCGGGTTCCGCGCCGCGTTCCCTGATGGAGGGGGGCTGCCCCCGTACGCGACCCCCCTCTACCGGCCCCCGGGACCCGCGCTGACCCTGGCCGAGAGACTCGCAGGTGAGTCGCCGGCTCTCACCCCAACGTCGCTCAGGGCCGGGTCAAGGCGTGGGGGATTTAGGGGGTCCCTGTGTGAGTCTGTGGGTCCCTGTGAGAGTCTGTGGGTCCCTGTGTGAGTCTGTGGGTCTCTGTGTGAGTCTGTGGGTCCCTGTGAGAGTATGTGGGTCCCTGTGAGAGTCTGTGGGTCCCTGTGAGAGTCTGTGGGTCCCTGTGAGAGTCTGTGGGTCCCTGTGAGAGTCTGTGGGTCTCTGTGAGAGTCTGTGGGTCCCTGTGTGAGTCTGTGGGTCTCTGTGAGTGTCTGTGGGTCTCTGTGAGAGTCTGTGGGTCTCTGTGAGAGTCTGTGGGTCCCTGTGAGAGTCTGTGGGTCTCTGTGATAGTCTGTGGGTCCCTGTGAGAGTCTGTGGGTCCCTGTGTGAGTCTGTGGGTCCCTGTGAGAGTCTGTGGGTCTCTGTGTGAGTCTGTGGGTCCCTGTGAGAGTCTGTGGGTCTCTGTGTGAGTCTGTGGGTCTCTGTGAGAGTCTGTGGGTCTCTGTGAGAGTCTGTGGGTCTCTGTGTGAGTCTTTGGGTCTCGGTGTGAGTCTGTGGGTCTCTGTGTGAGTCTGTGGGTCTCTGTGAGAGTCTGTGGGTCTCTGTGTGAGTCTGTGAGTCTCTGTGTGAGTCTGTGGGTCTCTGTGTGAGTCTGTGGGTCTCTGTGAGAGTCTGTGGGTCCCTGTGAGAGTATGTGGGTCTCGGTGTGAGTCTGTGGGTCTCTGTGAGAGCCTGTGGGTCTCTGTGAGAGTCTGTGGGTCCCTGTGAGAGTCTGTGGGTCTCTGTGTGAGTCTGTGGGTCTCTGTGAGAGTATGTGGGTCTCTGTGTGAGTCTGTGGGTCTCTGTGTGAGTTTGTGGGTCCCTGTGAGAGTCTGTGGGTCTCGGTGTGAGTCTGTGGGTCCCTGTGAGAGTCTGTGGGTCTCGGTGTGAGTCTGTGGGTCTCTGTGAGAGTCTGTGGGTCCCTGTGAGAGTCTGTGGGTCTCTGTGAGAGTCTGTGGGTCTCTGTGTGAGTCTTTGGGTCTCCGTGTGAGTCTGGGTCAAGGCGTGGGGGGCTGTAGGGGCTGCAGCCCAAGGGGCCACCACCAGCTGGAGGGCCTCCAGAGATTGTGGAAAGTTGTTTCATTCGTGAATGCTGAATTTAGATTTGTTGTGAGCCTTGTAAAAATACAATTTTAGTTTTCTTTAACTTTATATTATTTGGATCTTTCGGTAAAGCCACGTAGATAGAAAAAATGATTTAAAAAAATCACGACGTTTCGATCGCAACACAAGCAATCGTCATCGAAACGACGTGATATTTGTATTATTTCTCTAACTTACGTGGCTTTACCGAAAGACCCGAAGAATATGAATTCCTGCAGTCACGAAAGCTTTAAGTCAAACATTTTCTTTAACTTTGTTTTCCTTTTGAAAATATTACTGGGCGGGGGGGGCTCACAATACCTGTAGCCCAGTGGCCTTCAAAATCTTATTACGCCCCCCCCCCCCCCGCACATCCATTCCATTCACCCCTCTCGTCCTCCCTCCCCGCACCCCTCTTGGTCACCCCCTCACCCCCCCCCCGGGCACATCCATCCACTCCTCGCGTCCTCCCTCCCAAGCACCCCTCTTGGTCACCCCCTCACCCCCCCCCCCCCGCACATCCATCCACCACTCTCGTCCTCCCTCCCCTGCCCCCTCTTGGTCACCCCCTCACCCCCTCACCCCCTCACCCCCACCCACCCCCTCACCCCCCTCACCCCCCCCCCCACCCACGCAGCCATCCTGGTGGAGGCCGGCTCTGGCGCGCAGTGTCGCAAGCCGCGCAGGAGCCGCACGGCGTTCTCGGCGCGCCAGCTCGAGGCGCTGGAACGCGCCTTCCGCCTGGGCCACTACCCCGACGTGGGCGCGCGGGAGAGGCTCGCGCTCGGCACGGGGCTGCCCGAGTCGCGTGTGCAGGTGAGGGGGGGGGCTGCCCGAGTGGCGCGTGCAGGTGAGGGGAGGGGGGCGGGGCTGCCCGAGTGGCGCGTGCAGGTGAGGGGAGGGGGGCGGGGCTGCCCGAGTCACGTGTGCAGGTGAGGGGGGGGCTGCCCGAGTGGCACGTGCAGGTGAGGGGGGTGGGGGGGGGCTGCCCGAGTGGCGCGTGCAGGTGAGGGGAGGGGGGCGGGGCTGCCCGAGTGGCGCGTGCAGGTGAGGGGGGGGGGGCGCGGGGCTGCCCGAGTGGCGCGTGCAGGTGAGGGGGGCGGGGGGCGGGGCTGCCCGAGACACGTGTGCAGGTGAGGGGGGGGCTGCCCGAGTGGCGCGTGCAGGTGAGGGGGGCGGGGGGGGGCTGCCCGAGTGGCGCGTGCAGGTGAGGGGAGGGGGGCGGGGCTGCCCGAGTGGCGCGTGCAGGTGAGGGGGGGGGAGCGCGGGGCTGCCCGAGTGGCGCGTGCAGGTGAGGGGAGGGGGGCGGGGCTGCCCGAGTCACGTGTGCAGGTGAGGGGGGGGCTGCCCGAGTGGCACGTGCAGGTGAGGGGGGTGGGGGGGGGCTGCCCGAGTGGCGCGTGCAGGTGAGGGGAGGGGGGCGGGGCTGCCCGAGTGGCGCGTGCAGGTGAGGGGGGGGGGGCGCGGGGCTGCCCGAGTGGCGCGTGCAGGTGAGGGGAGGGGGGCGGGGCTGCCCGAGTCACGTGTGCAGGTGAGGGGGGGGCTGCCCGAGTGGCGCGTGCAGGTGAGGGGGGCGGGGGGGGGCTGCCCGAGTGGCGCGTGCAGGTGAGGGGAGGGGGGCGGGGCTGCCCGAGTGGCGCGTGCAGGTGAGGGGAGGGGGGCGGGGCTGCCCGAGTGGCGCGTGCAGGTGAGGGGAGGGGGGCGGGGCTGCCCGAGTGGCGCGTGCAGGTGAGGGGGGGGGGGCTGCCCGAGTCACGTGTACAGGTGAGGGGGGGACGGGGCTGCCGGAGTGGCGCATGCAGGTGAGGGGAGGGGGTGAGGGGGGGCGGGGCTGCCCGAGTCACGTGTGCAGGTGAGGGGGTTGAGGGAGGATGGAGGTGGTTAGCCCTGGTGACGTGGGGCACGTGGATTGTGGTGGTGAGGGTGAGGATGGAGGTGGTGAGGGCGATGAGGTGAGCCCTGGTGACGTGGGGCAAGTGGATTGTGGTGGTGAGGGTGAGGATGGAGGTGGTGAGGGCGAGGAGGTGAGCCCTGGTGACGTGGGGCAAGTGGATTGTGGTGGTGAGGGTGAGGATGGAGGTGGTGAGGGCGAGGAGGTGAGCCCTGGTGTCGTGGGGCACGTGGATTGTGGTGAGGCTGGTGAGGCTGGTGAGCAGGACGCTAGGTGAGGTGAGGCTTGCGGGCACGATGCACGCTTGCCATGGCTGCAGCTGCACGCGAACTTACGTTTCATTTAACGTCAACGCACAACGAGAGAGTGTACGTGTGTGTGTGGCAAGCCGATCAAACTAGGTCGACTCAGCCTCAACTGAGTACCTGGTGCGATGTGTAAACATCGCCATCGGGGAGACAAAGGCGGCCGGGTGTGGTGTTGTCCACCCACCCCCTCGTGTGCCGTGTCGGCCTTTATACGTACTACTCGCTAACAGCACTTGCCTCTACAGTCTGTTACAGGCTACACGGGGGATCTTTGTCTTTGTGGCAAGCCGAGCGGGCATCACGCGGCCACCGCGAAACAAAATGCCCCTTCCAGGTTCAAAGCCTCGGCCGAGCCCCCCGTGAGCGCCACGCTCAGAGGGCCCCCCTCGACCCGCGCTGTTTTGCTCAGACGATGCCCACGGTTCCCCAGGTCACTTTGCGTCGTCTTTGGGCCACCACGTGAACGCTCGCGGCTCGCTGGGCCGCTCCCGAGAGTGAACGGGCGAAGGCGGCCAATTTGTCAACAGCGACGCACCCTCCAGTCTCTCTCTCTCCTCTCTCTCGTGTTTTTACGATCAGTGGAAACAAGAAGATGCTCGGTGTAGTCGGCACTTTGCTTCGTTTATCATTTCGTATTTTTTTTGTTAAAATATCTCTCTCTTCCCTCTCTCTCCTCTCTCCCTGCGGCGTTGCTGCTCGCGGTCGCGTGGACGAGGTCTGGTTCAAGAATCGCCGAGCCAAGTTCCGCAAGAAGCAGCGGGGAGTGGAGCGAGACGGTGCGGGCGGCGCGACCCCAACGCCGCGAACTCCGCCTCGAGGGGACCCGCGGGGGGCAGGCGGGGCACGGAGCCCCCCCCGCGAGGAGAGGACCCGCAGCCCCGGGGAGACCCGCTCCGAGATGCCACAAAAGTCTCCGTGCAGACGACCCCGAGACGGGAGCGGAGAGACGCCGCGGGAGACGCGGGACACGACGCGGACGTTCCACGGTGAGAGTGTGGGAGTCGTGGTCGTGGTGTCGTCCATGTGAGAGTCTGTGGGTCCCTGTGTGAGTCTGTGGGTCTCTGTGAGAGTCTGTGGGTCTCTGTGTGAACATGTGGGTCTCTGTGTGAGCATGTGGGTCTCTGTGTGAGTCTGTAGGTCCCTGTGCGAGTCTGTGGGTCTCTGTGAGAGTATGTGGGTCCCTGTGTGAGTCTGTGGGTCTCTGTGAAAGTCTGTGGGTCTCTGTGTGCCGATGTGTGTTCTCTCTCTATGTATCTTTGTGAAATATGTCTGCTTATATGTCTGTCTATAGTTTTCTGGTTAGATTTTTGTTGCTATTTCTTTTATACCTGATGATGATTGCTTGTGTTGCAATCGAAACGTCGTAGTATGCTATTATTTAATTTATTATTTTATCTTTATACGTGACTTTACCGAAAGAACCAAAGAGTAATTCCTGCAGTCACGAAAGCTCTAAATTAAGATTGGTCTCTGTGTGAGTCTGTGGGTCCTTGTGAGAGTCTGTGAGTCTATATGTGAGTCTGTGGGTCTCTGTGAGAGTCTTTGGGTCTCTGTGTGCGTCTCTGGGTCTCTGTGTGAGTCTTTGTGTCCATGTGAGAGTCTGTGAGTCTCTGTGTGAGTATGTGGGTCTCTGTGAGAGTTTGTGGGTCCCTGTGAGAGTCTGTGGGTCCCTGTGAGAGTTTGTGGGTCCCCGTGAGAGTCTGTGTGTCTCTTTGAAAGTCTATGGGCGCCCGTACGAGGCTACATTGTGACTGGGCGAAGTGCGGTCCATCACTCACATTGCCAAATCCTTCCCCCGCACCTTCGATTAGCACGGTTTGCTACGTAAGGCGCAAAGAAGTTCAACATACATACAATCACACACTCTTGCGAGGGGTACAAATGGAATCCATTTAGTGGCTCCAGACCCCATCCAATGGATTCTCCACACCCAATGCACAGAGTTACAAATTTTTGCCCGTTGCTTTCCGAGAAAGAGCATCATCATCATCATAAATGAGCAGTAGCCAGTGTCATCACCATGCAACACACGACCTCATCATATCTCACTATTTCACTCCATTGATTGCTGCTGTTGATGCTGCTGCTGTTGCTGCTGCTGCTGTTGCTGCTGCTTCTGCTGTTGCTGCTGCTGCTGTTGCTGCTGCTGTTGCTGCTACTGCTCTTGCTGCTGCTTCTGTTGCTGCTGTTTCTGCTACTGCTGTTGCTGCTACTGCTGTTGTTGCTGCTGTTGCTGCTACTGCTGTTGTTGCTGCTGTTGCTGCTACTGCTGTTGCTGCTACTGCTGTTGTTGCTGCTGTTGCGGCTACTGCTGTTGTTGCTGCTGTTGCGGCTACTGCTGTTGTTGCTGCTGTTGCTGCTACTGCTGTTGTTGCTGCTGTTGCTGCTACTGCTGTTGCTGCTACTGCTGTTGTTGCTGCTGTTGCTGCTACTGCTGTTGCTGCTGCTGCTGTTGCTGCCGCTGTTGTCGTCGTGTTCTCTGAAGGCGATGCCGTCAACCCCATGGTCCCCAAGCTGGACCCGGCACACCCCCCCTTCCCCCTGCCCGCAGCCTCCCCTCCGCCCCCGTGCCCGTACCGACCCCGCGAGCCCCTGTTCGCGACCCCCCTGTCCGGCGCCTTCGCCTCCGCACCGGCGTGTGCGCAGGGCTCCGCTCTGTTGCCCCAGGGCCTCTTCCCGGCGCACTGCGTGGCACCGTGCGTGGTGCCCTACCCGCCGTGTTGCCGCGTCATGCACCACGTGCAAGCGGCGCACAAAGCGGCCGACGCGGCCGATGACCTCCACGACGCGTGCGTCCGCCTGGCCGCTCTGCAGCACGCGGTCCTCCTGCAGGCTCTGAGGCCGTTCCCAAGCTGAGTCCGGACTCGCTGCGCTGTCGGGGTTCGAAAGGGGTACTGGAAGAGGGGTGGGTGGGGAGGTCTTGAAGGGGGTCTTAATGGGGGTCTGTAGCGACAGGGCACCTCCACCCCCCCCCCCCCCCCCCCACCAGAACCATCATGGCGTTCTCCTGTCGAGCGGAATCTGCTCGGGTTGATAACTGGGCGAGAGGCGGTGTTTGAAGTTGGGTGGTCGTCAGCGTTGATGTCGTTACTACGCTGGGCAATCACTTCAGTCCTGCTCGTGTGGGCTCAGCAGCAGCAGCAACAGCAGCAGCATCAGCACAGGCGAGCGAAGGCTGTTCCACGGACAGCGTCTGTCCAAGCCTCGACCCCGACTCGCGCGCTCATCCCACGCCGGCGCGCGGCGTCACTCGCGCTCATCACGAACGCTCCTCCTGGCTTCGAGAAACAAAGAGACAGACGAACAGAAACCCCGAAAGGTTCACTTCGTCGAAGGAATGAAGTTCACGCGACTCGCCAAATGACCCCCCCCCCCCCACAACAACAACCGTCATTCGCCACTAAGTGGCGGTGACGTCACCACGACGCTTGTGCCAGGCCAAGTGCACCTTGAGGCTACTACGTGAAGTGTCGAACGCCCGCTGGCAGGAGGTCACGGGGCAGACCCAGCAGGTGCCACGGGTCGACTGACCGAGATGACCGAGATAACCCCCCCACACCCCCCCCCACACACCCCCCCACACACCCCCCCACAACCCCCCCCACACCCCCCCCCCCCCCACACACAAAAGCCACCGACATTCGGAGCGCATTCACCAACTCAATTATTGGCGCCCGAGAATGAGCGCACCCTTCGCGATTGCGACACAGGAGAGGTGGGGGAGGGAGGGGCCGTCCATATATGACGTCACGCACATGGGGGGGGGGTGGGGTCAGATTTTTGTGACGATGTGTGACGAGGGGGGGGGGTGTTTGAGAAGTGTGACGTCACATCAAAATGCGCAACTTTAAATAAATATTAATTCTAGATTTGAAGCTTTCGTGACTGCAAGGATTCATATTCTTAGGTGTTTTCGGTAAAGTCACGTAGGTAAAACATGATTTTTATTTTATTTTACTTTTATTAATTTTAATGTTTTACCTACGTGACTTTACCGAAAACACCTAAGAATATTTAAATAAATATATTGTTATAACAACACTAATTGTTATAACACTCCTACAACATCAGAGTGCAGCGCCACATTAAACACGCACTACAATGACAATAGTTTAAAGCGATTTGAAGCATGTTTTATTTTCAAAATTGAAATATGGTTTTGGAGTTGGGGGGGGGGTGTGGCAGAGCTTTGTGACGTCATATTTGAGAGGAGGGGGGTGGGTCTGACTTTTTGTGACGTCATGTGACGACGGGGGGGAGGGGTGGGGGGGTCAAAAATCGTCCAAAATTGCGTGACGTCATTTATGGACGCGTGGCGAAGTGCGGAGCTGTTCCCGAGACGAGGACGCCTCGACACGATCCTCGCGCACACGCGCGCGCGTGCCCGTGACGTCTCCTCCCGGCGTCCTCCGCGAGGGGGGGGGGTCCGAACCGGACACCTCGGCGCAGTCGCCAGCAGGCGCCGTGGCAGTAGCGCGGTTTGTCAAGACGCCGCGCGTCGTTTGTCGCCGTCGATGATGATGGCCGTGGGTTCGTTCGCGGTGTTTTGCACGCTCTGGGAGCTCCGAGAAGGCGGATTCTTACAGCGGGGCCCCGCCTGACCAATCGCCTGTCAGCAGAGCCGGCCCTAGACCTTTGGGGGCCCTAAGCAAAATTTGGTTGGAGGCCCCTTTGATGTATGATTTTTTTTCACCCACTCGCTAGCAGTGACTCTAGGGGGCCCTCTGCTGGCCACGGGGCCCTTTGCAATTGCAAGGGTCGCTTAGGGGCTGGGCGGCTCTGCCTGTGAGTGATTGTGAACGCGCGTTGTGGGTTTCTAAACCGCGCGGAACCGAATGCCTTAATGTCGCATCGCACACACGAGATCGTTGGTGGGTGTCGATTGGAATGACCACGACGACGCTTGAGTCCCAAAGCGCTTGAGAGTTTGAGCCGAGCGACTTCGCGTTGAGCAGCGAGTCGAATCATCTCTCGGGGCTTGACTCACTTGAAGGTGTTCCTTCACGTTCAGCCTGCGTTCACTTTCAAGGTGGCTCTGTGCACCGAGATGTCTGTGTACGGGTCGGCTTCAAGATGTTCGCGTGACCTCCAAGTGATGTGTAACTACGCCTGTGTAAATTTCGATTTAAAGCTTTCGTGACTGCAGGGATTCATCTTCTTGGTTCTTTCGGTAAAGTCACGTAGAAGGGAAGTAATAAAATAATGAGATTCAGATGCTGTCTCCCCGACAGACCTGGTCTTCACCTGAAGGACGGCTGCTTGCGTTGTGGCCGAAACGTCGTGAGAATTATTTTATTGTGTTTTATTTTTATTATTTTATTACTTCCCTTCTACGTGACTTTACCGAAAGAACCAAGAATACGCCTGTGTAATTCTTTTTATTCGTGTGTGTCTGTGTGTGACTGGGCATTGCCCTCCCTCCCACCATAACTCTCTGCACCCTGGACACTTCACGTTCAGGAGGATGGCCCCGTTACGCGCGTTCCACAAAAGCCATCGGGCAGCCCTGAGACCATCTCTGGGGCGTGCCCAGTAGGCAGGGTCACGTGGGACACAGCGACAACCACGTGCCCACAGCCTCATCCGTATCTCTATGTGTGCACGCGTGTGCGCTGCTGTGCTTGTGTGTTCCTCTTGTCTGTGTGTGTGTGGTGTGGGGCCGTCCATAAATGACGTCACGCACCTAGGGGGTTGGGGGGGGGTCAGACATTTGTGACGATGTGTGACGAGGGGGGCGGGGGGTTTGAGAAATGTGACGTCACGTAAAAAGGCGCAATTTTAAATAAATATAGACAACACGTTCTGCTTAATTAAATAGACTTCCAAATAAATGTTTTCTCCTAAAACATCAGAGTGCAGCGCCACATTAAATACGCACAACAATGATAATAGTTAAAGGCGATTTGAAGCATGTTTTATTTTTTTGGGGGGGGGGGCAGCGCTTTGTGACGTCATATTTGAGGGGGGGTCTGACTTTTTGTGACGTCGTGTGACGAAGGTGGGGGGGGGGGGGGTCAAAATTCGTCTAAAATCGCGTGACGTCATTTATGGACGGCCCCTGTGTCGAGCGGTAGTGGAGCGGGTTAATCCGCTGCGCTACGAACCCGACCACCCGAGTTCGATTCCCGCTCACGGCCAACACCAGTGATGGTTATCTGAACTGGTCCTGGGCCTCCTCTGGGTGGACTCAGCATCAAATGAGTAGCTGATACGATGTGTAAACATTGCCACGAGGGAGACAAAGGCGGCCGGGCGTGGTGTTGGCCACCCAACTCCTTCGTGTGCCGTGCCAGGCCTTCATAGGTGCTCGCTAACAGCACTTGCCCCAACTAGTCTAGTTAAGGCTATGCGGGTGATCTTTGTCTTGTGTGTCTGTGTGAGTCTCTGGGAGTGTGTCAGTCTGTGTGTTTGTATGTGTGTATGTCTGTGGGTGGGTGGCCTTTATAGGTGCTCGCTGACAGCACTTGCCCCAACAGCCTGTTAAGGCTACACGGGCGATCTTTGTCTTTGTATATCCGTGCGCCTAAATTTGTGGACGTGAAAGCACAAAACGTGTCGGTCGGCAAAATACAACTCGCTGAGGATGATGGAGAGTCTGGGCCGATTCTACACCGCAGATCGAAATCCCTAGAAAAGTAAAATAAGTATAACCAGTAAAAAAAAGTTTTTCACTATAAATCCTTTATATGCGTGGCGGCTAGAGTCCTCTCGTCCTCTGGCTTGAGATGGCTGCCACCTATGGGTCAGATTATTGCATTGCACCATTAAGCAATTGGTAAATAAATATAATATTTTTGTCCTAAAAAGTGTAAAATTTTTGGAAAAAAATTTCACGAACATTAATTGTCACGCACAACGAGTCTGTGTGCAAAATGTCAGCTCGATTGGATCACGGGAAGTGGGTTAAAAAACGACCGAAAGATTTGCACGGTCCTAAGCAAGCAAGCAAGCGAACTTAATATAAAGGATTTAATGATCGCAATGGGACGCCACTTAGAGGTGACATGGCAGTGGAACGTGCGCCACAACGCGGTGGGTTTAGACAATGCACGGCACGAAACCGTCTCGAAGCACGCCGAAGAAAGGGAGTGCGATGGTAATGGCCACACGCAGAAGTTTGTAAAGTCACGAGGAACAGAATGAGAGAGGCGACGGGAGGACACAGACCTCGGCTGATTGAAGATGTCCACGTGCAGTTTGAGCATCGGGTAGAAGCAAAGGTGGCACTGATTGCGAAAAAATCTCAAAGGCCGAAAGTAGAGCCGGGAGGGCACGATCGTCGTCAACGTTGGTGGGGGGGGGGGTCTCTATAGCGCAAAAAAAAAAAACCTGTAATAATATTCACGGCACTGAAATCATTCTGAAGAAGAGGATGAGAAGGAGGATACGCTCGATGTGACAGCGCCTCTTCGCGCCGTGGATTTGGGACTGCTTCTGCACAAAATTGGAGACCTCGAATCGATTTTTTAAAAAGTTGGCTTGGGCAGACCGCAGAGATGGTGATGCTGGGCAGCGGGCGAGGGTTTGGAGGGGAATTGCAGAAGAATAAGAGTCCACCAGCGTGGAGATGGAGCGCTGAGGTCACTTCAAGGGCGGGAGCGAAATGTGTTGTGACGTAGGCAGGGCAGCACGTGGTCGCAACGACGTGGGGAGGAAGCCATCGTGGTCTGACATGTATGTCCACGCGTGCACACACGTGTGTGTGTGTGTGTGTAAATATTTGTATACTGTACGCGTGCGTGTGAGTAAAGTTGGACTTTTCGATTGAAAGCTTCTTTCGTGACTGCAGGGATTCATCTTCTTGGTTCTTTCGGTAAAGTCACGTAGAATGGAAATAATAAAATAATAAAAATAAA